AAAAAAAAAAAAAAAAAAAAAAAAAAAAAAAAAAAAAAAAAAAAAAAAAAAAAAAAGAATCCACAAGAAGACAAAAAATAGAAACACGGTTTCGGCAACACGGATTTGGCCCTGAAATTAGTTTGACACATTTGTCCGTGTGCCAGTGTGAGTATGCCCTCAACAAGGGCTGTTCAGTAGATCATGGGATCTGACCTGCCTCGCTGGCAGGGGAATCTCCAGAATCTAGCACAGATACCCCGTGAGAAACATGCTACCACGAACCTGCGTGAGGAAGACATTGGCAAACTTGAAAACGCAGTTCTTTTTTTTTTTTTTTTTTTTCCTACACTGACTTGCTCACCGAGCAGCACGTTAACCGCGGCATTGTTTTTTTTTGGCTGGATGAGGTACTGGTGGTTTAAACCACAACTCCGTCCGTCAGGAGGAAATAGCCCCTCCTGTGAGTCCAGGCGAGTATTTAGGGAGGGCGGCGACTGGTGGGCGAAACAGCAGGGCCAGTTCCATGGGAAAGTCGGAACCTGTGACATGTTCGGGCCGCAGGTGGTTTTCCCTGCTTTCGAAGGCGGGAACAGTGGCGGCCGCCACTTTCCAGAACACATTCGAATTGTTTCTTGTTTCTTTTATATATCTTTTTTTTTTTGGTGAATGACTTGTCGGTTTTCGTATTTTCACGGGCCTCGTTTTTTGTATGCAGTCCCACCACACGTTTCCGCGTCCACATGCATAGAAGGTCAGGCCCCCAAAAAAAAAACGACTGAGGGCAAAAACAAAAATATTCCCCAGCGTGCCCGTACTGGCTTCGGGCCTCGCTGCACTACTCCCACAATGTGCAAAACGAGAGTGAATTTTCCACTAGATTTTGGAAAGATACACCGCCAAGATTTTTGTCTTTTGTGAATGTCGAGAATAGTTCAGCGAGGCCCTTCGTCGCCGACAGCTTGCCCGTGCTGCGTCGTCGCTCTCGTTGCTGAGCCGATGCGTCCATGTCCGCACGCTTGTTCTGTAGAGTGGCAACCATCTGCCACAATGATGCCAGCGATGAACAACAGCTGGCGGGAAGACAGGCTCTCTCTCTCTCTCTCTCTCTCTCTCTCTCTCTCTCTCTCTCTCTCTCTCTCTCTC